CACGGCAAGAGCCAGTCCTCAGTCGTTTTATAAAGTTTTCGCCACCAGCGGGTGTTCGATATTGTAAATTCTGAATAGCAGCAGCATCACTTGGCATGTTGCAAAGGAAAGCAATTATAACCGCTGCTAGAATAGAGTGCCCTATTGTGTGCATTGATTGGAGAGTTGGTGGAGTAGACGATCTCGAAAGTTAGCTTGAATAAATGAGGAATGAGCCTGCATTTTATAATTCTTTCATCTTCCATGTGCTACTCCGAAGAGGGGTGCTTGGCTTCAACCCACAGTTGAAGGGGTGGCATCTCCTTTTACAACATCTGATATCCATGAAATTTTACAGTCAAAAGTCTACAAAAGTGTAGGGCTATAACAGGGTTGGTTGTTCTTGATTTCAATGAAAATCATCAATGAAATTCATCAAGTCAGTCAGCCGCAGTGGGTTCGCACTTGTGTTGAAACCGTATTTTTTTTTTTGTAAGTAAACTTAACCACCACCTAAGACAAAGGAGTCCCTTCATCATATACGATGCGATTGAAGTTTTCTTTCCTTTCCAAGTATGGGCTGCTAGCTCCAAATATCTCGATGGAACATGAATCCACCTTACTCCATCTAAACCCCTTGCATATTATCGTGCCCCAAGCGCTTTCAACAGAGCAAAAAAAAAAAAGTGCCTCAAGGACGCGATGGCGTGCACTTAGTAGGAAATAATCATTTATTTGCCGAACAGTTTTTTATAACACTTGAGTATGATCGATTATGCAGTTACATACTGAGGACTTTTTGCAAGTATTGATCTCTCGGTACGTGTGGAGGCATTCAGGTACGGCATGACCGATGAAACTGATCAGTTACCGTCCCGAATGCGAATTCCTCTTCATTTGACATCGATCTTTTTCGTTCTCTCCTTTGGAAATATAACCTTGCTCCTCCAAATAAAAACGAAAGTGAAAAGAACACTATTCCTATTTCAGCAAGTTAAGAAGCATCTGTCACTGAAAAATGTATGCAAATTCACAGTTGTCTCAAATGCAAATTGTCACCTTTCTCTCCCATTATTTAGGAAAGGTGAGAGATTCCATGACTAGGCTCGCCAATCATGAGAGAAATCCAGAGAAAAAGTGGAACAGCTTTATGAAAGATCAAGAGAGAGGATTCAGTTGAGAAAAAATGATTGAAGCTGGAAAAGATCTTGCTGCTATGTCTAGCTAAATAGACTCCGAGTCTAGTTGTAGTACTTATACTCCAGACCGCAGGCATTTAAACACTCAAGTAAATGCGCTGGTATATTACATGTTTAATAGCTCTCTGGCTTAACTCGACTGAAAACAATGCAGTCTCAACAATGCAATCTGCCCTACATGGAGGTAAAGATATAACCAACGACATTATGCTGTACCTTAAGGAGGAGGCACTGTGGTAAATCTGCTCGACATCAGGACAAGTGTTTCGCACCCCCTGAAAATCGTCTCGAATGGCAAGTAGCTCCGTATCAAGCTGGATTAAAGATGATTAGTCGCAACAACACATCCTGGCGGATAAGGAACCGGTAGTTTATAGGAAGCTAAACCTTGACAAAGCTCGAGCTCCATTGCAAGTCATTTATACGTTCCTATCAACGTAGTATTCGATCAAATGAGGAAAATGAAAAGAAGACGAAAAAAAATTTTGTCATTTTATTCCAGAACATTATGGGATTTTCAATGGATGACCGTCAATAAAGAATTACATATTTAGCTTGGTTGTCAATAACCGTGATTTACTGTTAATCAGTTTTCTCTGTGAAACACTATAGCAACCACTGGCTCGTCCGACATTTGTGTCTCCCATTCTTCTCCGGAAATGATGATTCGCAAGACTTCTTGACAATTAGCATCTCCAAAGGTTGTTATGCTCGCGCTCGTATCATTGATGATGTACCAGGTGGGCAATTTCAATATAATGCAAGTTGCACCCGGCGGAGATACCAGGTTTAGACTTTGGTTTCGTTTGGATGGCGCGTACGTCAATTTTCCCTGAACGGCAGATGCCATGGGAAGGCTACATATCATGAGAGCCATCGTTACGAGCAGAAAAAGTTGCTTGACCATTGAGTCGTGCGTGAAACGAAGTTTTCGAGCAGGGTGAAATTTACGTTGTTGTAAAGACAGTGAGCAGTCAGAGCGGTAGGTGTTGCTTTTATAACAGTACCATGGTAACCTGAGGGGGTTACCGATGGAAAGTCAAAGATCATCACTAGCTCACGGTCACTTGCAGCTGAAGGAGACTGGAACTCCCTGCAGAATATTCTTTTCATCATCGTATGTATTTCTCGTAGCCTGAGGTAGGATGGTTGTCTTCCAGTCAATGTCTATAGGCAATGAAAGGTTTTTGTAGTACGAACATCAAGTATCACAATGTAAAGCCAGATCTACCACTTTGGATCATCAGGGTTTGCAACAATCGTTGTGAGGTCCAATGCGAGAACTATAGGAGGCGTAGTGGCTTACCTTCTGTGGTTACTGGCCAGAAAGCAATAGAATAAAATCGGTTACTTTATGTAGTAATCGGAGATCGGGCAAAGAGAGGAGTCTTCCCGATCCAGCAGCAGCTCTCCGTCAAAATAACAAGTTGGTGACTTGGCCCCACATACATTTTAAGGATCACCGTGGCTGGCAGTAGCATATCAAAGTGATATCATTCTATAAACCACGTTGAATTTTATACTCGTATATAAATGAATAGTTTAATGATGTACACCATTGTATCTACTACATCCAAATAACACCACCAATAGTGATGATCTGAAAACCCGGCTATGAGAGAACGCATATTTCTGTGGACGGCTAGCGTTTCATCACCGCAAAGGCATAAGATACTGGTATAGTGTTAACGCGAAGCACATCCAGGTACACAATGGTACGAAAACGGTGCTATACGGCAGAGCTGTTTTTGTCTTTACTCCATTGTGAATATGTTCGAGCTGCCAAATCAATAAAAATTTGCTGCAGGCAATTGCAGCAAAGTAAAGAACGTAAAAACCACGAAATTGCATTTTCCACCAGCGCTTTACTTCGATCTGCTCCGTAGTCAGTACGTTTTGAAAATTAGACTTTGCAAATATTAGACCTTTCGAATACGCTGGACATACTGGCTAGGAGTTCTTATGGCCAAACTTGTCTCCCGTTGTATGCATACAGCGCTCAAGATGCAGGGTATTAAGCAGGAAGAGGTTTGATTTCGAGCTCATGATATTCCTGTTCAAAATAATGCGTTTGTAGAATATTTTTTGGGAGTTTCATTAGCGATTTCAGCTTAGGCTTTCACATTTGAGCGCAGTGACTGGCGGACGTTCAGCGCATATTGCTGGCGAACCAATCGCAACATACGGACTTGCCTCTTGCTCGACTTTTAAAGGTATTGAGATGCTATACCTGCGTCTGTCAATATCCGACCCTTAATGGCTGCCATATACTCGTTCACCAGTAGCCAATTTCTCTTACACGGCCCGAATACAAGACTGCCATGCCAACATCTTAAATTTGGAATTTCGACATGACATTGCGAGAAATCAAAAAACGATGTCGCTTCAAGTTTCTGACAAAATGGTCTTGGGTATAAGTATAGGAATTAATAATGACACGGTCTCTTCTTTTCTTGCTATTCGGCCGGGCAGCTGTTGGTATATCTCGCCAAATGTAAAAGTTCGTCACCGCTTTTTAAATTTTTTTAACCCCGAGTTTTCCAGGCACTTCACAAACCTTTGGTGAGCCTCTTAGATAGAGATAATGAGAAACATCATGTAGTTAGGCGGTTCAAATAATTATTGTTATGAATTTTAGGTGATAAACTACTACCTTTACCTTCCTTTCAAACCGCGTATTTTGTTCTGTTGTCATTTAATTCTCTATGAAGACTTTTTTTATGATTTCACGTTGAATAAGTATTCATGGGCAACCGAATGTTTCAAAAGGGATAGGCAAAGAATAAGGAAATAATATAGAATTGGTGCATGGTAAGATTGGCGTATATAGTTTAAAGTCAATCAAATAGTAAAATGACATATATTTTTGAAACACTGCATGCTCATTGCCAAATTGCATTCTTCAATGGACCTGTTCTCGTTCAAGCCAGTATATACATACTTTTCGCATTCGTTTGAAAAGTTCTAAAGATTCAAGAAGAAAACGAGTAATATACATACATTCAACAACTTGAAAGGAATTTGCACATCAGTATCTGCACATATCCAACTCCTTCGTTTTTCTCACTTTGAACATTAAATAAAGTGTCTATGCATATAGGCAATCAAAGATTGTGACTCTTAGACCACGGTGTCAAAGAAAATCATTGTCGTATTTTCATCCATATTGATACCATAAAAAATATATTTTTTTGTTCAGGAATGGTGTTAACGTATATAATAATCACGATATCGGGCAAACATTAATGACATGCATTGAATTAGTTTCAATGAAGCAAGATATAGTTGACTATATGGCAAGGACATTGATGGTCATATAATATGCATCAGGTAATAATTTCGTACAGATGTGCCTAAAAAGACAGCTGTATAGCAACAACACGATTTGAAGCGTTCATTCATGCCGAACGAACAACCATTCTACTACTTGTAATATGAAAGGAAAAAAGTGGACATACATTTTTGCTGTTGAAACAGCGCAGCTGGTACTATACCCATACACTGTGACTCAATTTTAAATTTTTTTTATTCATATACTCGTGCAAAAACTCAAGGTAGCTTCTCGCTTTGTTTTCACTAATACGTGATTCTTTACATATTTTTCTAATAACACCAACATACTTCTCCCTTCTCTCCTTCTATTAATGACGCCAAAATGAAAAAAATAATAATGTAATATTAATAAGTTAAAAAAATAGTAATACTCAATGTTCGTCGAATGTATGTTGATATGCTATTATCGAATGATCAAGTGTGAGATCGTACGGAAGGAATGTAGTAACTGGAGACAATTAAAAAATCAAAATTTGAGGAAAACAAGAAGTCGATATGTCCGAGTGGTTAAGGAGTCAGACTTGAAATCTGATGGGCTCCGCCCGCACAGGTTCGAACCCTGTTGTCGACGACATTCTTTTTTTTCGAATGTCTCATATTTTATTATGAATTTTGATTGGTTGATAAATAAGCATCCGATCTTATTGGTAGACTATCAGTTTAAAGTTCCCGTTGATTGGTTTATGAGCTGGTGCCCTTTTAGCGCAAAGCTTCGCCTGGCTTATGTCAGGCTGAAGAGAGAATCTACCCCATGGACAATGTCATGGATAAAAGTTCACTGCATCTAGTTCAAGCAGTAAGAGTTGGAAATGGGCAGAAACAGAAAAGATGGGGTGCCAGATTTGAGTAGATTACTGACAGTTTTGTCCATATGTTAGATAGAAAACGCGCAACAAGCACCTCGAACGTTTTAATTTCATTTGCATTATCACAGTACAACCTCAACACAATCTAGATGTTAAACGCTTCTACGGGAAACCCTTGCCGACGAGCTTCTCGCTCAGAGCCCAAAGTCTCTCAGCGTTAGCATCATCCAGGGCATACTCTCTAGGACTTTCATTGTCGACGCGACAGTCTTGCAAGTATGAGCCGGAATATGGCTTGAGGCTGGGATCAAAGGCAGCAACAATGGTCGTGGAAGCTCCTTGGGAGATGGTTTTCTGCTTTGTAGAGTTGACAGAGTAGTAGAGTATTCCGTCATATGTTTTTCGTTGTAATTTTTCTTCTTGAGATTCATAAACGTCTCTAGACAAGTTCGTAGCTATCACACCAGGATGCAAACTAAAGGATACCAGGCCCTTGTTCTTATATCTCTTAGCCAGTTCCTTTGAAAACAACATGTTGGCGGTCTTGGACTGACCATAGGCGTGCCATTTATCGTACTTCTCACCGTTTGAGAAACCGTAGTCATCGAAAAGGATAGGGCATAAGATATGCCCACGGCTAGCAACGTTAATGATACGTGGCTCTCCAGAGGTGGAAGCTAATATGCGGTCAAAAATCAGAGCCGTGAATAAGAATGGACCAAGGTGGTTTGTGCCAAACTGCGCTTCAAACCCTTCCTGGGTGGTATGATAGGGCGGAGCCATTATAGCAGCATTATTGATCAAAATATCAATCGGTTCTTCATACTGGTTGACTTGCTTTGCGGCTGCTTTCACGGATTCAAATGAAGCCAAATCAACGACGAGAGAGCGCAAGTTAGCATCCGGCGTCTCTTGTTTGATCTTTTGAATCGTTTCGTCCAAAGCTTCCTGTCGTCGTCCGGCTACAATCACCAGTTTCGGTTGATGCTTAGCCAGGGCATTAGCTGTCTCTGCTCCAATACCATTTAACGATGCTCCTGTAATAAGGATGGTTTTTCCTTTTATCTGGTCCGCTAAAGCTGTAGCAGCCTCGTCGGAGGTAGTCTCGAACCCAAAATCAAAAGCCATGAAGAAAGGAAAATTGTGTTTGTTATTTTCCTCAGATTTTCCTCAGATTATATATGCGGGCTGTGTGTAACCGATCAAAGTCCGGGTGATGATGAACTCTGAGTTTTCCCGCGCCTAAACTGCACAACATAAGACTAGGAAGAGGAAGAGAATACGGAAAGAGCTTCAATATCCAACGGGAGTTGAAAAGATTCAAAATGAGAGACCACAATAGAGGAGGCAGTGCCATAACAGCGTGTTTGTTCATTAAATTATACGACATTGAAACTGCAATACACCCTATATATACATTATTCAAGTATGATTCTGTCTAAATGGAACGCAAGTAATGAATCACATACAGCCGTCGCTACCATCCTGTCTTACACCCTGATTCTCCATTACGTCCAGCACACCATCCTCCCGCTACCATTGCCACATAAAATCGTCATTGAAGGTGTAGTGGGGTGGAAAAGACTAACGGCTGGTACAGCAGTCACCTTCTCTGGATCATACAATTCGCAGATGCGTTCACCAGTCTCACCAGAATAGACTTCCACTGGATGATTCATGCTACCTATCACAAAATGAGAGTGTGACAAAGCCCTGGGATTGTAATTCCAGCGCGCTCGAAACAAAGTAACCCATCTGTGCGAAAACAGAGGTTATCAGCAGGGAAGCTAACATATTCTACACATGAATCAACGGTAGGACATGCTAACTTACTTTCCAGTACGATTATTGTGCTCTATGGCAAATTCTTCTTCTAAATCGTCTACCTTTCCACTTGTGCTGAAGACTCGGAGACGATTGTCATAGCTCGTAGTCAAAAGCTTGTCTCCATTAGGAGACCAGTAGCAGGATGAGACAGAAAAGCCATGTTCAAATTGCTTGATGGGCTCTGGAGCCTTTTTTTTCAAATGCCTAATATCCCAAATAGTTGCAGTTCTATCATTGCTCGCACAAGCAATGTAGTTAGGCTGTTCGTAGTTGACCGAAATGCCACCAACTTTTTTCTCCCGAACGGTGTACATTGAATGTTCAGGGTTTGGCGATCGCAAATCGTGGTGACCAATGGTTCCGTCTGAAGTAGAAAACCAAATCTAAAAGGGATACAATTAGAAAATTGAAGCAGTTGTCCTCTGTGTGAAGAGGCAAATTCTCGAAAACATACGCTGTGACCATCTTTAGGCATGTCAAACGCCGTAAAGGGAATGTCCGATTCCGAGTCTTCAAAGGCTGTTACAAACTCTGCTTTTTCCATATCGAAATACTGTACGGTTCCGTCATAAGAAGAAGTATACAATTGTGAAAGGTTGGAAGGATTATACATCATGCTCGTTATAGTTCTTGTATGAGGTCGATATGTATAAACAATTGGCTGAGGCGCCTCTTCATCGGGATCTTCTTTTTCACCATTGACATCCCAAAAGCCAAGATTGCCTGATACGTCTCCTGCACAAGCCAAAAGTTTGCTTGCAGAAGGATGGAACCTTCATGGGCGGATGAAACAAGTCAGTCAAAAGCTTGGCAACATCCATTTTGTCTTCAGAGATACCCAAGGTATCTATTAATAACTGAGGAGACTACAAAAATCGGTTGAATACTTACGCAGCAAAGTTGATTCTTTCGGGCGTTACTTTAATGGTTGGCCAAATATGCCTAATGTCTAAATTAGACGCTTCCTCTTGCAGCTTCTTTGGCACCTTGTCACTTGGTGGACCATCATTAGGAATCATAACATTGTCTACTTTTGCATCGCCAAGTATTTTTAGGAAATCGGCTTGGTCTTGGTCTTCGAGTTTAGCAATTCGTTTCGGCTTCTTAGCCTCTGAGAGTTGTAATAGTTCGTCGGCCGTTCGTTTTAAATCTGCTTCTGTAGTCGCGTCCGCTGGGATATTCCGTAATCGAGCAGAAGATCTAACAGGTAATAACTTTTCCTTTTTAACAGCTTTTGGCTTATGTTGTACAGTAGACTTCTTGTCTGCCGACTTGGTTGGCGGCAGTCCGTGTTTAGATCCTACTGCGGGAACATTCAGTTGCTTAAGCAATTCCTTATTTTTTCTGATAAAGATGGTAAGAAAATTATAGTGAAATCAAAACTAAGATGAGACTGATAGTATACTCAATGTTATCCAATCGCTTCTTTTCATATTCTGACAAATGTTGGGACATTGCACAACACGCTCAATCACGAAAAAAAATTGCGTCCAAATATTTGACGGTCATTTGAATCGCGCGCAGGTAATGCAGCCAGGCTAAAAAACGCAACCATGAATACTGCCAGTTGGCTCTACAACCGCAAGATATAAAATTTGCATGGTATAACTCTTTCACGTTTATGAGAAGAGAAAAAAATCAACTACTCGCTTTGCCATTCTTTTTTTATCGTACCGGTATTAATGCTTCACTGACTTCGCCTTCATGCCGCTTCCTTTCACTGGCTGGGACCGTTTTTGAATCTCAGATAGCCCCATTTTACACTCTCACTTGTCACGATCTTTCGCATTGCCCAAAAATGAGTTTCCTATGGAATCTTGGTACAGCGAAGAAGCCGGTTAGTAGCTATGTATTTCCCTCGTCAATGTTGGTCTCATTTCAGTACTGAGCATAATGGAAACAGGTCGCCAGCGCAAAACCTGCAAGCCCGCCACACTTTCAGTCCATGAACGTGGCATTTCGCCGCGGCGTACAATACAACAGTAAGTCCTTGCTTTTATATTTGAATTTAAGGCACTCTTTAACAACTTACCTCAGTGAAGGTGGCCATCAGAGGCGATGTGATGACGGGAAAATCGACGCTCTGTAAGTACTTGCCATGGTCGCACTGAAATACAACCAGTTGCTGAACCTAGTATCATATCCAGTCCGAAGACTACAAGGTGCAGATTTTGATAGCAACTACATCTCAACGCCTCAAATTGAAGTTTCTAATATACAGTGGAAGTATAAAGGTGAGATTTGTGAATGCAGATTTAGTGACGATGACTTTTTTATTTTCATCTCACACATGTATAGACTCTCCGGATATCATCAAGGTGGAGGTATGGGATGTTGTAGATCGAGCAAAGAATGCGGTAACATCACCAAGCACAGAAACTGGAATAAAACTGGAGCACACTTCTGCGCAAAAGCAACAACCGAAACGAGGTACCACCCCACCCACAGCTGAGCTCGGCGATCTGGGATTGGACGCCAGTACGGTCAATGTATATAGAAATTGTCATGGCGTCATATTCATGTTTGATATGACAAAGCCATGGACGTTTGAGTATGTTATCAAAGAGCTACCTTCTGTTCCTGGCAATATCTCCATATTAGTCCTGGTAAGTGTTTTACCTTGGATGTTAACAACAGCCATGTGGCTACTGAAGAAATCCATTTCTGACTTGTTTCTTGCTGCACAGGGTAATTTCAATGACAAAGAGTAAGCAAAGGCTCCTTATACGATCGTCCACCCTATCAATAGTAACCTCGTATTGCTTTGTCCAGCCTAAACGAGAGGAAGGTTTCCTTGGACACGGTGCATGCTGCTCTGTATGATCTTAATCAGGAACGCATAAAGGAAAAAGACGCCACAAAACCCAATTTGATACGCTACATTGAATGTAGTATGTCTACTGGAAGTGGTCTTCGCTATATCTATGCATATCTCGGT